GCCGTGCTGTCCGGCGTCGGGCTGCAGTTGGATTCCTTGGATTCGTCATCTTCTGAGGAAGAGCGCGGCTCCGACTTCTTCCCGGTGGTGCCGGTGCCACTGGCACCCTTGGCATTGGCCGCACGCTCCTGCTTGCGGAATTTGGCTCGACGGTTCTGGAACCACACCTGGGGGGGGATGGAGGGGATGGGAGCACCCCACACCACCGTCCCTGGGCGTTTGGGGAGCCTGGGGGTGCAGATGCAGCTCCTTCCCAGGCCTTGAGGTTCCCCTCACAGCCCCCCATTCCCACGGGGGAAATGTTTCCCGCAGCACCAGAGGGATCCCCATATCCACAACAATGTGGATTTGTGAGGTCGATGACGGTCACTCGTATGAGCATCGGCAACAGTGGGGGAGAGAAACGGTGAGGGGGCATTGCCAGGGCCCCTGCTGCACCCACACGTGCACCTCGCAGGGTCAGAGCCCACCCCCACAGCGGGCACCTCTCCTGCTCCCCGTGGTGCCGATGGTGGGGTCGGTTCCACAAACCATCCCCCCCCAGTCCTGTGAGTCCCTACATCCCTATGAGGACAGGTGTTCTGACAAAGGGGGTTCTGCACCCACAAAGAGGATTCTGCACTAACACGGGGTTCTGCACTCACAAAAGAGGATCTGCACCCACACGGGGGCCTCTGCATCCACCAAGAGAAATCTGTACTGATATAGGCAGCGTCTGCATCCAGAAAAAAGGGGGGGGGTCTGCACCCACAACGGCACCACTCTGTCCTCCCCGGCCTCTCACCAACCTCCGGGTGTTTGGGATCGGACTAAATAATCGGTGGCAGTGACAGTGCCGTGGCATGAACCGATGCCCCTCCTCTGCTGGGAGCCAGGCTGAGCGCCGGGGGGTACCCCCGCAGTCCCCATCAGAGCAGGGCGGTGCCCCGCAGCGTGTCCCCGACTGTGGTGGAGCTGAGGCCGAGTCCCCCCCGCCCTCCGTCCCAACACAGGGGGCACAGCGGCAGCGTCCCACAGTCAGGATCCCCGCTCTGGTGGGATTAGATCCCCCCGTTCCTTCATCCCCAACCTCGCAACCCCATCCCCCCCTCCCCGAGCTGACCTGCACCCGGGCCTCGGTGAGGTCGATCTTGAGGGCCAGCTCCTCGCGGGTGTAGATGTCGGGGTAGTGGGTCTCGGCAAAGACCCTCTCCAGCTCCTTCAGCTGGGAGCTGGTGAAAGTCGTCCGGATCCGCCGCTGCTTCCGCTTCTCGTTGATCCCCGACGGGTCCGAGAAGAATTTGTAGGGAACTGGGAGGGAAACGAGGCGTCAGTGGGACCGGTACAGCAGGAGGGCAGCGGTGGGCACCGGGGAGCACCGGGCAGGGGGTACCAGGCGGGAATGGACTGGCAGACAATGACAGAAGGACAAGCTGGACAGGATGAATGGGGCAGAGATGAACCAGAAAAGGAGGGACCGTGAAGGGATGAACGGGAAGGGATGGACCGGGTCGGGGACATTGGCCAGGGACAGATGAACCGGGAAGGATACGCAGGGCAGGGGTGAACTGGGAAGGGATGGACTGGGCAGGAATGGACCGGGAAGGGGTGAATCGTGAAGTGCTGAACCGGGAAGGAAGGGACCAAGAAGGAACGGACCGAGCAGGAATGCACCGGGCAGAGACATACCGGGCAGCATGAACGGGGCAGGGATGGACCGAGAAGGAATGGACCGGGAAGAGATGAATGTGCAGGGATGGATCGGGCACGGAATACCGGCCAGGGATAGATGAGCAGGGATGGAGCTGGAAGGATGAACTGGGCAGGGGTGAATTGGGAAGGGGTGCACCGGGCAGGGATGGACCGGGGGATGGACCGGGCACGATGATTCAGGCAGGATAAACCGTGCAGGAATGGACCGGGCAGGACCCCGCGGGCAGGGTGAGAAGG